CCCCAAAACCCCAAAACCCCAAAACCCCAAAACCCCATTCATGTAATCCACAGATGAAATAATTAATTATATAAGGTTTATTCTAAAGAGCATACACTTCTCTTGAAGGCTCTTGGTCATCTTCAAAATTTTCCTGTTCCTCAATAATTATGTTCTTGCCAGCCATTCTTTCCCTGAATCTGTATTGAGGGTTCGGTGCATACTCATTATCTCCAAATTCCACAAATATAGCATTATTCTTCATGGGAAAGGCGGTATGGAGGTTTTGCCTCTCTTTACGATGGTTCTTATTTACCACTCCGACTCTGTTATTTTGAGGAGAAATGTTTTTCTTCTTTATAGCTAATTTCTCCTTTTTCAAATGCTTCTTTTTCTTAGCCATATTCATTCATCTTGCTCTATCTCTTGTCTTGACTGCTCTCGAGGGAAGTCTGTCACCTCCTTGATTATAAGAAGTTGTGGGACGTCTTCTTCACCCATTTCCTTCTAGTCCTTCGCTCTCTATTATATCATGATCAATAAATTTTGCTCCTTGCATTCCTGTTCTTTGAAACTCTCCTCTGGTGGCAAGTCTGGAGTTCTTGCCTCCTCCAAATCTGAATTGCCTCGCACCTGCATTGAAGTCGTAGAACAGTAAATTTGAAGATTCATTATGATTTGGGTTCAAATCCTGGTGATCCACATTATGCTTGTTAACTTCTATTCTGATCTTTTGACCTATAAAAAGCTCAAAATTGTACTAGAGTAAGATCTTACCAGGAAGATTGGCTTTTAGCTTATCTTCATAGTCAGGAGTCTCCCGACTCTTCTTTGAGCCAAAAGCTGTGTTGATAATTCTGTCCCTCTTCTCATTTTTCTTGAAATTTTTGTTGTAAGCAAGGTTTTCTTTTGTGTTACTGGATGCTCTTTTGGTCTTCCTTTTGACCTTCTCACCAATTGATGGAAGCTGCCTAGGCTTATTATTCATTTGCATGAATTTAGTGCTAGTTCCGTAATAAGGGTAATTCCCAAATCCTTTATTATTGAGATATGTATTTCTCCTTTCTTCACAGTTCTCACTCAGATGTCTTTTAGACTGTCTTGAGGCTACTTTACCCCATCTTTTATCATTCTGATTATATAATGTGAGCCGTTTCTTGGGGTTGAAGTTCGTATGTGTCCCTCACATACTTTCTATTAGAGAATTAATTATACAATTATCTAAAAGTGAACAAAACAACAAAAATTTTCCTGCTCCAGTTCTTGCGAATGAGTGAACTTACTTCCTTTGCTATTGATGTATTTATTAATAGCATTATTGAAAGGAGAGGCATTAGAGCCTATCTCAATATCCTCTGGGAGCGCAGATACATGTAGTAATTTATTATTCACATCATTTGAATCATTACTTCCCAAATTATCAAGGTAGGCATTAGAAAAGTTCTTTGAATCCTTGCTGCCGTAATGCAGTATTTTCCTCTCAACTGACTCTTTACTGTGAGATTTAACTTTAAAGGTTAAACTACTGATTTGTATTGTTACTAATAACATAGTTGTAAGGATTGGAAGTGCTAACTTCTATCATGTTTTCTTGATTATTTGACTTGCTTTCACTCCCCATCCTTTCTTTAGACCCATTTTCGAATCCCTGCTGTATATGAATAAGACCAATTATTCCGAAGGAAGGTGAATTTCAAATTTCATGTTTGAAAATTTTAAACCACTTACATTTCTGAGGGAAAGTCTAAGAGGGTCTTTCACTATTTTTCTGAAGTCTATATAGAGCATTAATAAAAAATTAGAAAATAAAAGTTATATTCTTATGAAATATTTTTATAAGAAAATAAAAGACTCTTTTTGTCAAGATTTTCATATTTGAACTTACTTATTGAATCTGGTTCTTTGTTATTGGAAATCAACCTTACTTTGTTCTGTCTCACCCCACCTGATGGTACTTGAGGAGAGTTATTTCCTTTACTTGAGAAGGTATTCTCCATGATGCTATCAAATTGATTTATTAATTCAAGTAATAAAATATTTTTAGGGGTTTTGGGGTTTTGGGGTTTTGGGGTTTTGGGGTTTTGGGGTT